AAGTGGCTGCAAATAGGGGTTACCACGGTCCAAAGTCGTTCCTACTACTTTATACGGGTCCGGCAACGGTGCGTCGGGCATCTGTAGCTTCTATAATAAAAAAAAATAGGAATTTTGTGTGCAAAACGAAAGTATGTTATTAGGATGTACATACATCCCATCAGGAAAATATTTTAACTTGTACAGGATGGCTCAAAGCTGGCTCAAAAGTGTGAGTGGATCAGGATGATTTTTTTAAATGGAACACCCTATACCGGGTGTGTCTCAAAAGTGGCTCACCCCTATAACTTTTTATTTTTTCAGATAAAAAAACGAGATTTGGTATGTTAGTATATGACATAAATTAAGATTGATTGACGTATTCAATTATTGTTTTTGGTCACTTTCTGTTTTACCGGAAAAGATGACAACTTTTGGTTTTTAAACGGCACCCTCGGTATATTTTCACTTTTTTCAATAGAAAATGACATTCTGAATATAATGACATATCATATGTCAACTTTTGACATTTTCACTTTAAAGAAAATCGTATTTTAAATTTCAATCTAGAGTGCCATGGCTGTGTTAAAAACACTAATTTTAATCAATTAGAATTGCAAAATAAAACACTAAATCACCACAATACACCAAAACACTTTTGCTTTTACACTGGACGCGCGTTTCGCTAACCATGTTAGCATCATCAGCAGATGATTATAAACTAAAATACAATCTACAATTGGACCGTTTATATACTCGCTCAGTGGGCATAGAGTGGGCGTGACAAGATCTAGCCAACCGAGTCAGAGCCCACCGAGCGTAACAGTTAGATTTCAGCCACTAGAGTAGTAGGAACAAAGAACTTGAAGGAATTGGACCGTTGTCTCTGTTCATACTATCTTTACATTTATTAATTCTGATGCTTTCATATGCATCTAGAATTGGAAATAAGCAATTAGAATTGGAAAAATAGATTTGATCGTGTTTTTCGTGTCTTGTCCTGGCCGTTTAAAAGATGCCCAAATCGTATTTTTAATTATATCTATCAAATAAAGTAAAAAAAAATACCGAGGGTGTCATTTCAAAGTCAAAAGTTGTTGTCAGTTCCGGAAACAGGAAGTGGTCAAAAACAACTGAATACGTCAATCATTCCTAATTTATGTAATATTAACATTCCAAATGTCGGTTTTTTAACTGAAAAAATAAAAAAGTTATAGGGGTGAGTCACTTTTGAGACACACCCTGTATATTATTGCATTTTTGACTTCCTTTCGGATCATTTTACATAATCTTAGATATCATAATAATAATAGTAATGTCTGGCCGGCAAGGGTAATGCAGCCAGCAGTATACCTACCGCTATCGTATGCGGAATCGGTACAGCCAGTAACGCCAGCTTTTCGCTGTCCCTAGACCCTGTCCTGGTACTTACCCGCAATACTTACCTATTCTAACCATTATATCCCTTACTTCCTTCTATTTTCCGAAATGCAATCCTCCTCCTGACATCTTGGAGACACACTGGGAAGGAAAAAGATGTAGGAGGTTTTCCCACCACCTTAAACAAAAAAGGAACCAAATCCAGAAGCGTCTGCACCCAGAATGGGCAGCTCCCTGGTCAGCGTCTGATCTCAGAGTGAGCGGCTGATGCACGTTGCTCGTGAAGCATATTCACAACCAAATACCCATTATGATGGAGAAAATAATTAACCTAGCCTCGGATAATCTTAACAGCGTAAACGGGACCATTGATTCACATATCAGTCGTGTCGCGCTCGGCAGGGGTGAGGAGGTAGCCCAGGTCGTCGTCATGCGAAACCCTCCAAACACTCAAAACAGCAATCAATCTTCAAGTGTAGACGGCAACCAAACACTGACCCTGTCACAACCTGGCCTGTCTAACACAACACCATCCTCTGATGAATCAACAAATTCTCGACAAAAATGGAGGATCGAAGATTATAAGGAAGTGATACGATGCTATCAATACGCTATTCGGAATAGAACAACCCGAAACGTGACACAGAGGACATTTGAGATATGGAGAGAAAGAAATCCGGCCGCTTTTCCAAAAATGAATGCCAACACTCTAGCTAACCAACGGCGCTTCATAGTTAAAAATAAAAAGTTAACCAGTATTGAGTTACAAACAATTGAACAGGAAGTGAAAGAAAACATAAGAATTAATCGAGAAACCTTGGAAGACCAGCAAAGTCTTCAAACCAACGACATAGAATTAAATGATATGACTGATACAAACCAAACTGAAAATACAGAAGAAACGTCCATCGCAGTAACCGAAGATATAGTCGATCAAGAAAAATCCAAAAACAACAGAAATATTGAAGAAGATAAAGAAGTATTAGACATGGAAAAACTATTATTGACAAACTCCAAGAAATAGAAAAACTTAAATTTGAAGAAAGAAACAATCTAAATAAAGTAATAGTCAACAACGACTTAAGACGGAAATAAAGCAGTAAGTAGAATAACTGATATGTGCGATTTAAATTTATCAGAAATCAACAACCTATTATATGCTATAGCAGCAACCATAGGAGGAGAAGCGGACTGCACAAAAGTCAATGTGGCAAAATACAAAGAACCGAGATGGAAAATCCGAATTAAAAAACCATAGAAACTTATCGAACGGAGATAGCAATTCTGGAAGAATACAAAAAAGGAGTATCCACAAAAAAAGTAATGAATAAGACTATTGTAATATTCAGGAAATATGGATATCAGACCACTGAGGAGCTAGTGACTAAACTGAAAATGAAATTGCAAGCAAAAGCACAACGCCTCCGTAGATACACAAAAAGGAGTGATCAATATCGTCAAAATAAAATGTTCAATGAAGATATGAAAAAGTTCTATCGAAGTAACCTAAATAAAGTAAACAATAACGAAATAAAAGAGACACCTTACCCAGATGAATTAGAATGCTTCTGGCGGGGAATATTTGAAGAGGCAATATTTTGAATATTGAATATTGGACACATAACAAAGATGCAAGCTGGATACAACAGAAAAGATAGATCAAGAACACATAAATGAGGATGAATGGAAAGATCTGGAAAATGACGAAATCATTGCTACCATCAAAAGAACCCACAATTGGAAATCACCGGGCCCAGACAAAGTTCACAATTTCTGGATCAAACAATTAACATCACTGCACACTCACATAACAGGAGCACATAAAAATCCTGAAAACACCCCTGAATGGCTAACAACTGGAAAAACAATACTACTTTCAAAAGGGAACAACACAAAAGACCCAAGAAACTACAGGCCTATCACCTGCCTTCCTACCTTGTACAAAATTATGACTCAAGCACTAAGCAATAGAATCTATAATCACTTAAACAAAAATAATATACTCCCACCTGAGCAAAAAGGATGCAAAAAAGGATCAAGAGGATGCAAAGACCAACTCCTTCTTAGTAAGATCATAATGGACTCAGCAAAGAAACAGAAGAAGAATCTATGCATGTCGTGGATTGACTACAAAAAAGCTTTTGACAGCCTACCACACACCTGGATAATCGAAATTCTGCAAACATATAAAATAAGTTTAGAAATCATAGCATTTATAAAGTCATCTATGGGGAAATGGAAAACAAATATAAAACTTTATTACTCTGAAGGAGAACTCGATGTTAATAACATTGCAATCAAGAGGGGAATTTTTCAGGGAGACTCCCTATCACCTTTGTTATTCTGCGTAGCTCTCATACCCCTTACTAACTTACTGAAAAAGAAAAACCTTGGGTATCAAATAGATTGCAATGTTAAGATAAACCACCTATTATATCTAGATGACTTGAAACTATTTACAAAAACAGAAAAGGAAATGGAACAAATGCTCAAAATTGTCAAAACATTCAACCAAGACATCAATATGGAGTTTGGTTTAGACAAGTGCGCCACAGCTACATTCATGAAGGGGAAGTTGACAAAAAGTAAGAACATAAAAGTAGAATCGAACATAGAACTTGAAATAAAATTTGGATCCAGAGGAAACTTTACAAATACTTAGGCTTAGAAGATCCAGACGAAATCGACAACACTTAGGCTTAGAAGAATAATAAATTAAGGAAAGAATATTATAGGAGAATCAAAAAAGTGCTTGACACAGAATTATGTGCAAAAAACAAAATAAAAGCTATAAACACAATAGCAATTCCAGTAATGACTTACAGTTTTGGTTTAGTGGAATGGCCAAAAGAAGAGATAAAGAAAATTGACAGAAAGACTAGAAAACTATTTACCTCAGGGAAAATTCACCACCCAAAAGACAATGTTGATAGGATCTATATGAGAAGACTAAGCTGATGGAGGAAGAGGTTTGCTAGAGCTTGAGGAAGCATTTGAAACTGCAATCATGGGACTGAGTGAGTACATAAAAGAGGAAAAAAGATGACATCCTTCGCAAAGTGTTGAACTAAGTTGCTTTGATCCCAGGCCGGGAACTGGACTTAGTCAATAATTACCGGAGAACTTCAACCGCCATGATCCACCTCCTCCATGGAAGAATATATACGGGAGCTATTATTATTTAACATGGAATATGTTAAATAATAATAGCTTCCGTATATAGCGTTTAACGCCTTGGAAGTAGCAAGGTACAGCTTGCCATACTAGAGCCGTTCGGTATACAAGAAAGGTAATGTGGCTAGCACTACGCTTCAACCGCCTATTGTGAATACTACTATTGTGAATCCCAAGTACTCATTTAAGGCTGAGTCGACCTAGGTACCCAAACTATTTTTATTTTAATAAAAATAGTCGACTGATGAAATGCCGGGTGTAGGATTCGAACCCACAACCTTGAGATTGGTAAACGAGAGCCTGTACCTCTACGCCACCGGGCACCAGATATCATTAAATACGATTTGGTAGTTTCAGAAATATTAACTTTTATTTCAGGGACACTGTATTTTTCTCTTCCAGGAGCATAGTAGTAATTATTGCTACTCTGTGTGATTTATTATTAATTTTAACTTTTCTATTTACAGTCCAAACGTTTTTGCTCAGACTTCTTCACCTAATGTCGAACACAAGTTTAAATGGACCATTGAAGAGATTGCAAATCTTAAACCCGCCGAGATCGATGAGAGCACCATAAGTCAACATGTATTTAATTCGGACGATCCAAAACTGGACCTTGTAGTTCAAGAAAAAATCGAAACATTCTTCTGTGAAAAGGAAATTGTCCCTAGTCCACTTCACATAAAACCATCTACTGTTTCTTCATTAAAAGATTATATTGTAGAAGAAAAGCACTCACTTCATCAATCGTTTAGTAAAAATGGGAAAAGTGAAAGTAATAATTATAACTAAATTATATCACAATAAAACTAAAAGTTATTTTTGGTAGATTCAACTCAGACTTTATTAGCTCTTCCTCCCGTGCTGCCGTCAAGTTTAGAAGAGGCTTTGAAACCATATCTGAGCCAAGACTGTCAAAGTAATGAAGATAATTTAAGAAACAATTCGCTTTATAAAAAATTATTTGATTATGAGGATAATTTTGACGAATCCAGTCATAATTTGCAAGATGGAGTATCCAGTCACTCATCCCCTGCTTTATCTACAGGTACAGTTCATACCAAATAAAGTTTTAAACCCCGTTCTCAGAACGACGTCGTATCGCGGGCGACACAGTTTGACATTTCAAACAACCAATGGGAGCTGTACTAAATTTAAAATTGACAGCTGTTTGAATTTTGTACAAATCTGATTGGTTCTTTTGTCGTGTCGCTGGCTGCAGTCGCAGTTCTGAGAACGGAGCTTTAGTTGCGTGATTAAGCTTCACCGGCACAGCGTTGCCCAATTTTATATATTTTCTTTTAATCAAAATATTTTAGGAATCAAAAATAAATAAATTATAAATATAAACTTACGTGCATAGAAATCGTATGTTTTTAACTGTATGTTTTAGAATCTATTTATCAGAGCAAGTAAAAAATATGAGCTGTTTCAAAGACAATTTAACATGCTTTAATATGAGTATAAATTTATCCAGAGTACTTATCGTTTATATGCGTAGTAACAGAACAATGAAAGGTATTAGTGTTGTGGCGATTGCAATTACTACATTTGTAATCGAAATTTTCACATTGTTCTTTTATTCTTTAATTAGTTGTGTTTCATTGTTTGATTAGTGTTTCAATTTAATGCATACATCACCGGAAAAAGCCGCCCAAGTAATCGCTTTAATCGAAAATGGACTTAAACAGAGAGCTGTAGCTCGGCAACTACATATGACACGCGGAGCGGTTCAAAGAGTGTGTGAACGATATGAGGAGACCCGATTCTTTCGTAGGCGACGTGAAACTGGTAGAAAGAGATATACAACAGATCGTGATGACCGCTGTATTGTGTCAACAAGGTTAAGAAATCGGCGTCTTAATGCTATTCAGGTGCAACAACAGGTGATTATTAGTCAGTGGACAGTAAGACGAAGATTGAAGGAAAGTAACATGACCCCCAAAACACCTGCAATTGGTCCAAGACTTACCCCAGCTCATCGTCAAGCACGCCTGCGTTTTGCACGGGAACATTGTATTAGACACTAGAAAAATGGGAATCTGTTCTATTCCCAGATGGGACCGGGATATGCCTCTATGGTAGCGACCGAAGAAGAAAAATGTACCGGAGGCCAGGTCAGCGATTCGCAGAATGCTGCATTGAGGAGCGGATTGCTTATGGAGATGGTTCCTGCATGATCTGGGGTGCAATTTCTATGACTGCGCGAACCGACCCAGTTTTCTTCCGTTGGGGCGACCGTCGGCACGGGAGAGGAGGTTTAACTGGTGCTAGGTATATTGATGAAATTTTGCAGTTTATGGTGGTACCTTACGTCGATTACATTGGAAACGAATTCACTTTTATGCATGACAATTCGAGGGCACACACATCAAGAATCGTACACGATTACATTTCAGAAGTCGGTTTCTGATCATGGAATGATGATCAGCATGCAGTCCAGACTTAAACCCGATAGAACATTTATGGGATGAGCTAAAACGAAGAATTCGTGCTAGACGAAGAGCCCGAACATCTATCCCCGAGCTCATTGTTGCAGTAGAGGAAGAGTGGCTTAACATCCCACAAGAAACAATATCAAATTTGATCGAATCTATGCCAAATCGTATGAGAGATGTTGTTAGAGCAAGAGGGGGTCATACACATTATTGAAAATTTAGTTTAGTCCATAAATAAATAAATAAATAATAACATACCTCTTAGTAATAAAAAACGATAATTGGTTTCCTGCATTAATTTAATAATTTTAATCCAAATAAACCAAAATACAAATTAATATCTCTAAACTCTTTTCAAAGAATATGAAATTGTCTTTCAAACAGCATATATTTTTTCTTAATCTGACAAATAGATTCTAAAAAATATATAGTTATTAACTTTGTTTATTTAGTTTGCCTTGGGCCGATTTCTATGCACGCAAATATAAACAGTTATTATTTACATCAACAAAACTCTCCTTGTTAACAGCACTTAAGAGGCATAAAGGGCCATTACTACCGCTTTCCCCTTCAAAATATTGTAATAGAGTTGCGATGAGTTTTTTACGGCTATTAAGCTATCTTGTACACTTCGCATTAAAAGATGTTCTAAAAAGAACAATGTTCGGCTGCAAGGTCTACTAATAAACATTTTCAAGCTTAAAGTATCACAACACTATTTATTTAAAACAAAAACTCGTAGTACAAAACTAAAGTGTCAAAACGAATGACAATGTCAGGAAATAAATAAATAAATGCGGCAACTTGACATTTTTTACAGCAGAGCTATCACCTGAATCGCCAGCGCGAAATTTAAATTCCAGTTAGTCAGCACGGCGCCGAATATGTCCATGGTTGGCAAACAAATGAATTTAAAAACCACGCCCTCGATTACGTAACTAAAAGATTAATTGATATGAAATATAGGTCCTAATTTCTTTACAAAGACACTATTTTGGTTTTTGCATAATGTTTTAACCCTCAACTGGCGTGGTAAGGTTTTTCGTACCGCTTATGGCGTTCTAGGGTCTGACGGACCCCAATTTTTTTTCAGTTAAAAATACACGATGAAGGGATTTTATAAAAAGCTTGTTATTTTAACACTGTTTACAATATATTCAAACTTGTGAGCAAACAAATTCATTAATTTTTAACAAATTAATAAGAACGGACACAAAAATAAAATAAAACGCATTTTTGACAACAGAAATATAACTTGACTAAGAAATCCATAAAAATTAAAAACATATATTTTATGATTTTACCGTATTATTAAACGTACAAACAACTGAAATGTGAAGCTAAAGTAATAAACATAAATTATTGTCAACAAAACTGCAAACCTTGAATGTACATACATACTTTTTTCAAATACAGTTCATGCTAATATAGGATCTGCATTTGCCGCACATGGATCGTGCACATTTGATTCATGAGATTTTTGTTTTTTGTAATTTCTTCGTTGACATATGGTTGACATATACCACACCTCTTTCTTTTCTGGTATTGATTATTCAATTTTCTCTCTTCTATAAGTAAGAGATTCAGAATCGGAGTTATGGTTACTTTTCGGAGAAAAATCAGTGTCTCGATGATCTTCATTTCACTTAAGCCTCTTTATTCAAACCACTCAATTAATGCTTCCTCAAAATTAGCGTCCCAGTGAGGCACACTTTTTAGACTACCCACCATCCTAATAAAGAAATATTCTCGGCGTGGTGGTGCCACACAGACCCCAGTGAAACTTTGGCCGCCGCTGGTAGGAACAATACTTGATAAAATCAAGTGCGCCCTTAACAGTTGCATATTGGTACCCTAACTTAAAGGTAAATGGCGCGGCGAGGCCTAATTCTTAAACGTAAACATTTTACAGAGGTTTAAATAGTGCTTGGGGTCCGCTAGACCCCACCACGCCAGTTGAGGGTTAAAAAATAGTTATAGTAGTCTATTTAAATGTTTTATAATTATTTTTTTCCAATACTATAAATAGGATATATATTTTAGGGTTTTCGCCAATTTCATTTTCTCCATCAAAGAAAGATTTCGGAAGTCCATTTGACAAGATTCAATTTGCAGACTGCAACCTTTCGCCTATTTCCAAGAGTTCATCAACTTCAGACTCTAAAATGTGTCGGTCGGCATGCAGATTAAATTTTCAAGATAACATGAGTGTGGATGCTAGTTTCATTGTTCCTGATATTCAGTGTCTGCAGTCTTCTAGCAGCTGTGAAATTGGTAAGTAGGTAATAAATGGAATAGTGGAACACCGTATCTTTATTTGGAATATTTATATTCATTAATATAATTGAATCTAACAGATGCCTGCTTAAATTAAAACCTGTTTTTACTTATTTATAGATACTGACATATCCCCACTGCCCAGGACTGTGGAACCTGTATTAGAAACTACATTAAACTGGAATATGGAATACTCACAGATATCTCTTGGATCTACGTCGGCAGATTCGGATCAAATGGACGTTTCAACGTCGAATACACCTCATTCTAGGATGTTTACAGGTAATGCACCATGTCTCTTAAGGTTCTTAAGAACAATATGAACTAAATAAATTGATATATCAATGTAGGTCTTATTTTATTTATTCGTGCCAAAAGCGTTGCATATAAAAATATATTAAAATTTTAATAAAAAAAGACAAAATGTATAAGGACAAACAGAAGAAAAATGTAAAGATAAAATTCAAGACAGTTACAAACATAGAACTGTAAAAAATTAAATGAACAGACCAAAAATTAGCGTTGATGTCCATGCAACGGATGAGCAGCATATACTTTTATGTCCCTCTGTGTTCGCGGCAGCTTCCCTTCTTATATCTGGTGGGGCTATCCCTACCAAACTGTAGAGTTTGTAGGTGGCGTGGCCTTTAGGTATCCTGTTATTATTCGACATGTCTCGTGTAAAGGCAATATCCACATGATTGGTATGAGCAGATCTGTACCAAACAGGGCAGACATATTCTGCAGCAGAATAGCATAATGCAAGTGCCAGTGTTTTGAGTACTATTGGTTGAGCACCCCATCCGTTACTTGTGAGCTTTCTAATAATATTATTAATATTATTGCGGGGAGATACTTTTGGTTTTGTATTTAAACAGTGCTAGTAAACTAAGCGGACAAAACATTTGTTTCTGGGTGTTGTCGGACTATCCTTAATTTATCCTTTCTTCTATCGGTTTTCCATTCAGTAGCACCTGATCGGCCACTTAATTTGGTCTTACTATGGGTGCAGTAGGATCATTACTGAGTCGCTTGAGCGGTTGCCAAGCCTTTCTGCTGTTTTTGAACATGTCATTTAGTGATGGGATAACTCGAGCGAAAATTCGCTCGAGTACTCGATTATTGAAATAACTGACATCGCTCGATTATGAACGAGCGATGCAAGTGACGAGTACCAAGCGACGAACGCAAGCGATCCTAGAATGAAATAAATTGAAATCCGATTTTAATGAACGAGGGTGGATCATTAGCATATTTCGAAAAAGAATTTTTTTACGAATAATTTGATACCACACACTTGGTATTTCGAGTCAAATTGTCGTTATGAACCGCATGTTACAATTTCAAATAAACCATATGCGAAAATGTCAAAAGTTGATATGTGATATGTCATTCTATTCAGAGAGTCATTTTCTACCGAATAAAGTAAAAAAATACCGAGGATGCGATTTAAAAATCAAAAGTTGCAGTCATTTCCGGTGAAACCGGAAGTGACCGAAAACAATTGAATAAGTCAATCAATCCTAATTTATGTCATATACTAACATACCAAATCTCGTTGTTTTATCTGAAAAAAATAAAAAAGTTATAGGGGTGATCCACTTTTGAGACGCACCCGGTATATTTATCCGTTGCGTATCTGAGAGACAACATTTTACGACCTACATCGACAATGCTTCGAAATAAACTAAATCAGGCGATCAAGCGAATCGCTCGCCGCTTACTACTTGCCGTTCATTACCGAAAGAATATGCCAAACCAAAAACCGTATTTTTAAATACGAGCTATATTTCGCTCGAGTGATCACTCGGTTATTGCAATCGCTTGATACTCGAGTACTCGATTATTGAAATTAATCGGTTTTTCCCATCACTAATGTCAATACCGTTTAACGTTTCAATCCAGCGGTTTTGTTTTGCTTTCACAAATTCCTGAGATAATGCCGATCCTGATTCTATTGTATCTCTCTCCTAAACGGATTTTCATCAAATAGTCTAAAGTATTCATGAACTTTTGAGGATAATTCTTCGTTCGCATCATCATCCTCATATCCCCAAACACCACTATGGCTGTTAAAATCATCTACAATAAAATGGGTATTCTGATTCTGGAAATATTCTGGAGGAGTAAAATTAAATTTTTCATTGGGAGGCTTGTAAGTGGATATTACTGGGCAACTACTCAGCTCTACGGTTAAAATTTCAATGTCGTTTTCCTCTGTTAGGCCAAAGTACTCTCATGTACAAACCTGGTGACGTCATATAGCGCAGGCGATTTGCGGATCTTTTTTATTCGGTGGATATATTTCCTTAGACAACTGTTAAGAATCAAATGGTACCACCATGTCTCAAACGTATCAATCCTTGAAAAAGCAAGCTGCGGGAGCGCTGAAGTTATGATTACTAAATCTCGCTTAAGATGGGCTGGCCACGTATGCAGGATGCAAGAAAACCGCCTACCCAAATCTTTACGGTGAACTTGTAGAGGGTAAGAGAAAACCGGGTGGACAACTCAAAAGATACAAGGATGTTTTTCATGAAAACTTAAAGAGGATAAGTATGCAGCATCAGCGGGAGCAAGAAGCGCACAATAGAACGCAATGGAGGAGAATTGTAAACTCAGTTAACAACGACAACCAAAAAGTAAAGAGGCAACAAAGTAATTAGATTTTTGAATGTCTGGAGTGCGGAAGAGAGATAACATCACGTATCGGGCTTTTCAGTCACAGAAAAGCTAATAAAAGGAAACGCCTTGCTTGACCATCTTCTGATGCGTGTCAAATACTCGTCAGCGAGTAATGGCAATAAGTAAGGATATATTTCGGGTTTGAAAAACTCTTTTGACATTTTAAAATCACATCTCACAGACTATTCAGTAGGGTTGGAAAAAATCATGATTTTTTAAAAAAAATCAAAAAAATCAGATTTATTTGATTTAAATCAGATTTTTTTGATTTTAATTCAAAACAATATTTAAATCGGATTTTCAAATGACCAGGACTTATTTCCAATGAAAGTCCTATCCTAAATGGCTAAATCTTTATAACTCTGCTTGATATCGATAACATTCTACAATGCGTTTGACATTTTTCCACATCGGTCACCAATATATTTCGCAAAAAATTCGCCCGCTTCAGATCAAAAGGATTTTTTCAAACGTCTCAAAAGTACTAACTTTTGTCATTTTAACGCCTAGTATAAAAGTAAAGCACTGTTACGCCTAAGCACAAAAGTACAAAAATATATTATTAAACTGATATTAAGTGTCAAATTTAACGAGTGTACAAATTGTTGCTCGATTACTGTTTATATTATTTGTAATGTTTGAAATTGATTAAAAAATGATTTGTTGTTGTTTTAAAAAAATAGTATATTCTATTCGGAGTAAAAATGTACTTTTTGTGCTTCCTTGTAACGTCGGAATAGCTTTACGATGGTTCTTCAAAGGTCCGCATCAAAACAAAAACAGCATCATCAAAAAAAGTATATTTTTTACTCCTAATAAAACAATACACTATTGTTCGGAAATAGTCTTAAATCGAGAATGAAATTAGTATCATCTAATGTCAAAGTGTAGAATACTTACTGCAGATCAAAATGTCGGTAAGAATTTGGAAAAATAAACCATTTCAAAAAAATATAAAACAACATATTTCCTGACAACGATTATAGATTCTCGGGAATGAAGATATACCTAGTGTCTATATCAGAAGAACCTAGTTCTGCACTAGACTGCGGATGATATGTATTCGAACAGCGAATTTTTGTCATTTATACATAAATTTTAAAATAAATTCCTGCCTTTAGTGGTTAATGGATTCACACGAAATTACTTCAAAAATCGGCCCAACATTTAAATTGATGAATATATATTTTTATATAGTTTTATAACATTTACAATTACTTTTCGATTTATTATCTGTTATATTTTTTATAGAAATATTTTTTATAGTTTGGTAATAATAACTTTTACAGTTATTTTTTGATTTATAATAAAGTTTCAATAAAATTATTTTTTTTTATTTAAATCACATGATTAAAATTAAAAAAATCACTTGATTTAAATCATGTCAACCCTGCTATACAGTGTGTATGTAAATAAGTTAGAAAAAATCAATTCTACATCATTTTACTATTGGATTTGGCGTTTTCCTCCATCAATATTTATAGGAAAACGGAATATAACGTGAACTAAAAATGAAGTATCTACATCATAGCATGATAAAATGTGATTAGTTTATTTAATCTTAAATTTTCTCCAATACCCAATCCCCCTCCATCAATCTCCAATGCCTGTGCTCCCCAAGCCTGAAAACCCTCAATTGCGTATATGCATATATTTCTTATTTATATGTTAAAAGAAAAATATATGTATTTTTTACAGATTCTTAACTATGCTAAGTCTCTAATTATAATTTAAAAAAATTGCAGGACAAAGGAAAAGACTTAGTGAAAGCTTCAAGACTGAGGAACTAAAAACAGAAGACTTAATCAAAGAAAGCGCCCCTCTGTGTCGAAGTAAAACGTTTCGTAGTGATTTAACTGATACGGGGTATTGTACATCCGAAACAGGTGAATATCCTTCAAACGTTTTTTCTTCAACACCAAGCAAGAGGAATAGTGATATTTATTTTTAATGGACCTAGAGTAGGTAACTTAGGTGTGGGCGTAGGTAATTTGTAAAGAACTGAAAGAATTATTGTATAAATTCTGATTATAATGTACATATTACAAGTGCACTTTCATTACAATTAGGTTAAATACAAAAAAGTATGTAATAAGTAAATGGGATAAAGGGGGACAATCAACACTAGCGTGTTTGAAATATTTGAATATATATTATTGATTTCATGCTTGATTTGTACATTTTAATCATGTTTTATTTGAATTTTAGTCAAGTGATATTAAGACTTTATGTAAAAACTATACTCAAATTTCATTTATGCATAACGGAAACGAGGTAGAGGATATATTAATACGCGATATAGTATGATTAAAGTATGATTAATACGCGATATTTTATATTTCGTCGTCGTAGTGATTTTTACCCTTATTACCCGCCAAATCGTTTTAAATTTTGGTTTTTGGTTGGTATAGATTTGTCACTACTGCAATAAAAAATGCATTATCTTTATTTTTATTACCTCAAGCCAGTGTTCGTTTTTTTTCTAATTCTGTCTTCTAATTTAAAGAATGTAATTTTTATTGTCCCATTTTCAAAAATCAAGCCTATAAAATTCGGACTTGTTTTATTGATTTAAATTTAAATTTTTTTTGCTTTATTTTTGATATGTTCTTTTATTTCGTTTTATTAAAAAAAAACTTTATTATTACGTATCTACTTTAGTACTTCATGGTATTCCTATATATTACGGAAAAAAATACAATTTTAATTTACTGCAACATCTTATTTCTGCTATACTCCCAGTCAAGCATGACTATAAACGTGCTGCTTAGCATGGAGCATGAACCAGTATTGTATTCAAAAATCTGTTCAACGAGAGCCACATGACAGTGACAGTTGTTGTCTGTCATTTTAGTTCCCATTAAAACCTTATTTTCAGTCATTTTTTAATTGTCATCTGTCAAAATCTTCCCTGACTCGTTGGAAATACTTTATTGTGTTAGACTGAAAAGCCGCTACAAAATATCTATAGTTAAATCACGAAGGATGATGATTTTATTATACAGAATTTTCTAACAAACTAAAGATGAGTTTATATGCGTACGTAATGCTTCGTCCATCGTTCCGTCACACCAATCATATTTAAGTATGAGCTCTCATTTTTGAAATAAACCAATAAAGAGGCATAAAATCAATGATGGACGACGCATTACGAATGCATGTAACCCACACTTATAATAGAATGACGGTGTTATAATGCTTCGAGCATCTGTAGCGCTTAGAATAAAAAAATTGAGAATTGTTTGTATATCACAACCTAAAGTAGGTATGTACAGTATGTCCCATTTTGGTTGAAATCATAGGGTATCTCCGTTATTAGTGAAGATAGAAGGGTGCGGTTTGCACAAACTTGTCCCACTTTTTCGTCAAACGGAAGATGCAGTAAACAAAATTTTCATAGCCCTCTTCATTTCTGAGCTACAGGGTCTTTTCAAAAATTTTGCAATTTGGAACACCCCCTGTATCTCTGTTATTGTTAAAGGTATCGAGAAGGCGAAAATTGCTTATTGTAGAACTTTTTACGTAGAATACAGTGGCGTAGTCTGTTTTTCTACCAAAAAAATATTTTTGAAAATATGAACTAAAGTTATGTTTTTTCAAATGGAATACCCTGTATATTTATAAATCATATGATCTGTTTTGCTATGAGCTTCTCAAAAATATATATCACTCTATATTTATTTTTACTATTTACTGCAATATTTAAAATATATCATTTTCTTATTAGTAGGCCGTGATAAATAACAAAAAATCAAAATGGTATTTACTAAAATAGTCATACACATATTAAAATTTATCTGGGATTGATATATTTTACTTTCGAAATAACTGTTACCACTGAAACTGTGAATATATTTTTCTTTTTTTATAACGGGATGGGTTTGCAAATATCTAAATCTTGAATTATTAAAGCATTTTTCAGGTGTTCGAAATTGTTGTAGTGCCCACGATATATTTCGTATTTCGAAAATCCTCAAAATCAGAAATCGAGAACGACGAAATCCGGGAATCGAGGAGGCTATCAATATGTGTTCATTGGTTCCAATTCATTGATTTGAAAAATAATAATTTAACAGTATTCTAATATTTCCATAGTTATGTGGGGGAATGTTCCCCATCTTGCTGAAAGTATATTTGACGTAAATTAGCTAAAGGAATATCTAAAATTTCCGATACGATAGATTAGTCTTACGTATACACGTATTCCAAGATTTACAAATAGCGGTAGAGACTTAAGTTTCCCTAATATATAAAGAATTTATTAGCGGCTCCCAAAATAAAACAAAAGACAGATAGCAGTATACTTTTAATAATTCTTTAGATTCTTTTATTATCAATCATGGCCTACTAATAAATATGATCTTTTAATAAAAACTTTTAAATATTGCAGTAAATAGTGAAAATAAATATAGAGTGATATGTATTTTTGAGAAGCTTATGCCAAGACAGATCATATGATTTATAAATATACAGGGTGATCCATTTAAAAAAACATAACTTTAGTTCATATTTTCAAAAATATTTTTTTTGTAGAAAAACAGACTACGCCACTGTATTCTACGTAAAAAGTTCTACAATAAACAGTTTTCACCTTCTCGATAGCTTTAACAATAATAGAGATACAGGAGGTGACCCAAATTGCAAAACTTTCAAAAAGACCCTGTAGCTCGGAAACGAAGAGGGCTATGAAAATTTTGTTTACGGCATCTTCCGTTTGACAAAAAAGTGAGACAGGTTTGTGCAAACCGCACCCTTCTATCTTCACTAATAACGGAGATACCGTATGATTTCAACCAAAATGGGACACCCTGTACAAGGATGTATTTCAGGAAATTATTTTAATTAATAAAAAACTGCTACGCTTTTTGCAAGATACTTACCAAAAAACTAGTACATATATTTAAAAAATGGATAAAAAATCATAAAAATAGTACACCTACATGTGAAAAATCTTGTTTTGATGATGTCTGAAAAAAACTATTGACTGTCCTTTAGACGTGACATTTTTCTTTATTTTTCTACTACCACGGTCCGTCTCCTCAACTACATGGTCCCCAATCGTAGTTCCATTCATTATTTTAAGTAGTATTATTCACAATACACTCTTCATCTGGCAATGACAAACAGCAGTATGTCCACAGCACAAAAGGACATACTTCTGTTTGTTTGTCTACCGCCAAACCAAATACACCACATAGAAAGTCTCAAAGGTATTTTCGCCATTTCATTCGAATGGGATAAAAATAGAAAGAGATAGAATAAGGAAGTAACGCGTGGTTTAATTTCGTCAGTTTCGGCCGCTTTCCTGCACAGTGATGAGTGCAGGTGAATATTAGAAGGATGAATATTAGAAGGTTCCGATAACAATCTTTTTGTGTCTTTGATATTGTTATATACGGCTATTTTTAAATTAATTACAACGCTAAGCTCATCATTCAGAACAACATCAATTAGTCAGTAATCTTTCATTAAAATAAGTGAAAATTGTGGAGATGAGTTTTACTCAGACTCTGTTCAACAAAGTTCATTAGTATCAGCTAGTAAGTACTTAGTTCTAAAAAGTTGATCGATTGTGAGCATAAATGAAATTTGTTTATAATAGAATGATAAATTAGAAGTTTGCATAAACATCTGGTTTAAAAGAAAACACATATCTGAATAGACAATTAGGTTCTAGTTCTAAAATGTCTGCCAAGGGGCAAGATTTATACAATCTACAATATTGAATGGATACAAATTATCTGTTTCTATATTAATCGCTGAGGAAATCATTGATCATGAAGTGTTGCTGCTTCAAATTGATTTATAAATTACAATGTTGTGTAAACTGGACTTTATTTTTATTTTACAAACTTTTCAATAAATAAATTTTAAACTTTTAATAACGTCTTTATGTTAAGTTTTATTGTATTATTATAATTATTTTAGGTATAAAAGTAAGGTGCTGCGATATATTATTTTAATATGTAGTTATAATGTAGTTCAAACAACCAGATGTTTTATGTATTAGTAAGTAATGAAATTTTAATGAATTTTTTGAAGCACTGCCATTTTAAAAGTCTGCTTAACATGTAACGAAAATATTATATATAATTTTATTATTTATTGTGTGCAATTGTAAGGGGGATTTTAATAAAAACAAACACCATGTACTTTTTATCTAATATATTAAAAAAAATAAGTTAACAATAATATAGTTTATATTTATGACTCCTACACTCTACTTTCCTATTTTTATAATAACAGTTTCTTACTTTAAACTATTATACAAGTTTAAAAATAAATTATATATCTATAATCATTCAGTCATCCTTCATTTAATACAAAGTGAACAAAAGAGACCAGAACATTTATACAGTTAATAAATGGAAAAATTTTTGCTTCATCTCGTCAGTTACAAACCTTAAAACAACGAAACACTAGATTATTCTTCTTTTATTTTCCCTTATTTACACGAGACAAAAACCTACAACAAATGGTTTGTTAATTGTTTTCTCTTATTTTGAAGTATTCTATATTATACATTTAACCTGTAAGAGTGTAAGACGGTTTAAGTACAATAATAGGAATTTAAATATGTTAAAGAGACAAAAACGCGAAAAGAGGAGAATATACAGGGTGGTCCGAACTGTATTCCGGAAACTTCGGCAGCTTATTTGACTGATAAAAATAAGTAAAAAAGTTCATATATATGTATGTCCTAAAATGCTTAGTTTCGGAGATACAGGGTGTAGAAGTTTCATTTTTATTTCGATTTTTTCCAAATAATTTCTGAAGTAACATCAATATTTGGATGAACATTGGTGTCTGGGAGTTTTTTGACATGATAAATTTTATTTTGATCTCAATATGACTCCTATTTGTAGGGCGCCACCTACATGTGTTTTAACTGTTTTTAAGAGTAATAACTTTTTGTCCGTATCTGTATAAAACTACTGAGTGAAAAAATATACATTTCCGTGATTTTCTCCGTAAAAAATGTCTCTTGGTAAAAATCGCTACGAGCAACCGTTATCAAGACATTTACAATGGAAATAGTCAATACATGTCATTATTGACTAAAAATAAACATGTTTTGAGTAGATAGTTATTTGACTGAAATGAGAAATTTGGGAACTTTTTATTTTTTTAAACTAATCATAAATTTTTCTTCGAAAAAATGATGATAAAACAGTTTCTGTTGAACTTTTGGCACAAAAATATTTCAAATTTATGATTTTAGTCTAATAACTAATTAGTCAACATGTCTAATTTATGTCAATGATTACAGGTATTGGTAATTTCGATTCCAAATATCTCGAGAACCATTACTCGTAGCGATTTTTACCAAGAGACCTTTTTTACGTAAAAAACGTCGTAAATGTATATTTTTTAACTAGTTAGTTTTATACAGATACGGACGAAAAGTTATTACTCTTCAAACCGGTTAAAAAATAAGTAGGTGGCGCCCTCTATGAGTAAGAGTCATATTGACATCGAAATCAAATTTCTCATGTCAAAAAACTCCCAGACACCAATTTTCATCCAAATATTGACGTTACTTCAGAAAGTATTTGGAAAAAATCGAAATAAAAATGAAACTTCTACATCCTGTATCTCCAAAACTAAGCATTTTAGGACATACATTTATAAGAACTTTTTTACTTATTTTTATCTGCAGAATATGTTGCCGAAATTTCCGGAATACAGTTCGGACCACCCTGTATAAATTTTCCCTTTAATAATTTAAAACCGATCGTGAAGACATTTTGAAAGATATTGCAGGAAAATTAAACCCTTAATATATCAAAACAGTTAATTAGTTATTTTGCTACAGCTACAGATACCGTGCACTTGACGTGATCACGTTAGGGTTTTGTACGAATTCTGGTATAGTATTTCCGAAGTCCATTGAAAGTACTGAGACTCTTAATTCCGGTGTCTCGACGACGCCGATAAAGACAGTGCCAAAACTAAGAGTCCCAATCCATTCCAACTGACTTCAGATAAACCGTGCTGGAAGTACACACTCGCCGAGGGGACCCGAGGCGTCACAAAAAGTGCGAGGTCCAGCGAGGCGCCCCGAGACAGCGCAAAAACACACCAATAAAATTTTGCAGGACATAAATAAATATATTCTGAAGAATAATTTTGTAAAAATAAAAATAATAAGGCGCTCATCGAGGTAAATTTAATAACACTTTTGGGAAAATTTGGGCAAACATTTTTCTTATATCCCATTTAAAACCAACCTGAATGTTTGTCATGAAAACCAATATAACGTTGAAAATGATGACATAACTGCCAAGGATTGAAACACAAACTGTATTTTCGACTTTATGTTGCCGAAATGAGGTGTATTAAAAAATTTTAAAAAATAATTAATAGCTAAAATGAAAAAGAAAACATAATGCCGCATAAAAACGTAAAATATTTGCTATTTTACCTAATAATATTAAAACAAACTATTTTACATTATAAAAAATAAATCTTTATTTTTAACTGAGAATAAAAGAGACTAATCAATAATTTTGTAATTAGAGTAATAATTCTTATGTTAATGATGACGAAAAAGCGAAAACAGTGTCTAGAAAGTCTTTAACATAATATCTTTCACGTACATTATAATTATCTTAGTTTAAAAGACGCAATAACGACACGTTTATACCAATAACGACACGTTTTTTGCTAATATCTCAAAATGGATGTATTTCGTTTTGTTTGATCGCTTCTCAATTATTAAAATAAACGTATATACTTATAGAAACTAATGAATGTTTATATTAGGTTGGCAGCCATATATTTGAATTTGAAGACTTTCCATCAAACTGAATGAAAACCTCGTGTATAGCTTTTAATAGACGTGTTTTTCTTTCTTAAACGGCCCGGAAAGTGACCTTTAAAGAATCTTTTTTTTTCTACAGTTCTCTTACAGATTTTTCGGTACTTTGACTAAAGTCGTTTATCCACTGTATTAAATAATTTAAATACCAAAAATACGCGTCAACTCAAAATCCGGTCTCAGATCTCCCGAGAGCACCGTGTATATTTTGGCGGGACCTCCTTCTTAACGCTTTCGCTATAGAAAAATATAGAATGTATTGTGTCTCTCTTTTATTTAGTTTCTCTGTGGCTCTCGTCTCCTTTGACTCGTGCTGGAGACCGCCTCTAGACCGAGCGCTCCCAAGACGAGGCGAGAGGCACCGAGGCAAAACGAGAGCCCCAAGTACACATTCGCCTTGTCGAATGTGTACTTGGGGCTAAGCGTGTACTTGCACCATAACAGTTTATTTCGTGATTTTTGATATCAGTGATTAAATTATAGTTTCTGATACTGATATTTTAAAAACATCTTCCTCAGTGAAACGTGATAACCTGCTAACTCCATTTTTGACTTTAAGTAAATAATACGTTTAATACATCATTTTTACGTAAAATTTTTAACAACAAATATTGTTATCCCATTGTCATATTAAAGCATGAATATACTTGCTACATGTGTACATATTTTTTTGTACCGTTTCTTTTCTCTCCTCTAAAATTAGGAATAATGGAGTTAGCAGTTTATTACATTTCACCGACGCTGTATCAAAATTAAACACACAAATAAAAATTATTTTCAGATTTTGAAAACCTTGTAAATAAATTAAGTGATTATGGTATACCCGTCTAAATCTGTGGTTTGTATTTTAATGATTATGACAAAGATAACGGTAGTTGAATTAAGATATAATTAGTTGCTATACAGGAACACCAAGAAATCCAAGGTTGCCGATTCCTATGTACGGTAAGATTTTAGAATGGTACACTACTAGAAAGAGATATACATATTATGCAAGATATTACAACTGTAGAACCACGAATACTTAAAGCTAGATATATTACAAAAAAAATAGTTCCAATGTTACAAAAATGTGTTCTTTGTCTGTTTTAAATAGTTAAATACTGAACTAGTATTACAAATTTGCATTTGATTGATCAAAAATAAACGGTGTTAGCGACGGCTACGAAATGAAGATCGCGGTCATTTTATATGTAAAATGATATAGGGAATGTCATCGATGTTCATTTCCAAGCCAACTGGACGCCGTATATTTCCAAACCCCAACAACCAAACCCCACTTTTTGTCCATTTTTAACATGTTTGAATTTGCATTAGGGTATCTCTATAGATATCTTACACATTAAAATCTAGATCAATGATTTAGTATGATAAGGTAAGTACAGTAGGACCAAGTTAACGCATACCCGAAATATTATCTTTTAGTCCAGTAGCAGAACCCGGATTTTTCCCTGAAGTGCCAATTGTGGGATTAAGTTTTTTTATGACGGATTATTATAGATCTATATGTCTATTTTCCATATTCAGCTGATGACAAGCTGTCACCTTTGGGGAAATCCAGATATACAGGGTGTCCCAAAATATAAGACATAAAAATGTATTCGATAGGTTTTTAAGCTTTAGGCCTTAATTTTTGTGTGGGTTGGTCAATTTATTGTATTTATACTATATATAGGCTTACCTTTATAACATAAAAATAATAATCATTATTATTTGTAATATACAGGGTGATCAAAAAAAAACTTATACCTACATTTTTCCGATTAATATTTTTCTTGTTTTCAGAATCTTAAATTCAATTCAACAATCATTATTGGTATTAATAATTTTAGGTTAATGTTCGAAGGTCTTTGAATTACCGATGATTTTGTGTTTTCACTTCAATGATTCTGTAAAATGTACACACATTTTTAATAATTTAGAATAAAGCAATAACATTGAGTTAATGAAGCCTCAACAAAAACGAGGGCATAGAAATATGGGACTTTTTATTACAGTTGCTGATACTTTTAGTTTGTAATCTTAAGTATCAGTAAAAATAAATAATATAAATATCATAAACCTTTTCATTAAGGCTCCATTAACTCAATTTTATTACTTACATAATTATGTTATATTAAATATATATTTTTCAGGGTGATGAAGGAAAATGTTTAGTTTGTCGATATAATTGTCCTTAATTAAAGCCTAATAATTTATAAGCCCTGCAGTTCGCAGTTGCAAGCTGTAGTTGGCCGTTCCAAGTTCATGAAATTTTAAATCTGATGGAACGGCCGACTGCGACTACTGACTGCAAACTGCAGGTCTATCCCAAGGCAGAAAAATAACAGTGATTTCTCTTTCAGATTAAACTTTCATTGTAACAATAATACCTAATGAGTGAAAAGTGTTTTTTGACTGGAAGTTTTCCTGTCAGAAGAAAAGTGAAAAACTTTTAATTGCTGGTGCCCAACGCATAGAAACTATTATAAAGTATAGCAAAGTGTTATCAAAACTCTAAAAAAAGGACACTCTTTGTTTTACTTAGGCCAAAGAAACAAAAATATGGATGAAATCACAAGTCAGGCTACTAAATTTATAACAGCATATTATGGAAGAGCATCTTGTTATTCCACATCCGAGGCTCGTGTACAACTTTGGGCAGAAAGAACTACATGCGGAAGGTCACAATTGCCTCTTTTTCGCTCGGTTCCGCCAAAGAACGAGGCATTCGCAGAAAATGTGAAACGGGCGCACCTACAGACTTGTATATAGCTAAATGCTTTAGAACCTAATCCGCCAAACCTACAACCGACGGACTATGAATTTTTTAAAGATGCCAACGGAAAGCATTTGTTACCAGTCACCCTACCAGAAAGGGCCGACGTGGCACTCTCCGATATATTACAATTGATTCGTTGCTCTTGTTCAAGTGCCAGTCCGTGTCGCACAAAAAGATGTGGGTGTAAAGATGCTAGATTGTCTTGTACAATGTTTTGTATGTGCCACGGGAACGACCATTGTTGCAACGAACTGACCCTCGCTGTACCGGCTAATGATAATGAGGATGAAGATGTGGTTTCCGATAAAGAAGTTGATTCTGAGGTTGATACCGACTGATAAACATTAATGTTTTATGATATGCGTGTTTAAAATATCTACCCTAGTCCTTCAACGGAAATAATGCTATTTTTGAAATACCCATTAGGTATATACATACCTACAAAGTATACAAAATGCAAGAATTTAATTTTTCTTTACCTTCAATTAACGTGAAGAAATATTATGTTTTTTTTAATCACCCTGTATATAAGATGTTTCGTTATCACTTATACCTATGAAAAAACCTACATTATTAAATAAATCAACGTAAAAACCATTTTTTCACGTTAAAAACACACAAAATAATTCGATAACTCGAATAACACTCGATTTCACATAATTGATAATGAATCACCCTGTATCTTAATTTCCTACTCGGATATCAAAAGTAGGATACCTATAGATGATAAATCCGTTTTCAAAAAAACTTAATCCCAAAATTTTGGGTTTACCCTAGCGGCTGCCGGACTATTTTGGCTGATTGGCATATTCGTTTGAACATCAGTGTCATTCATTCACATGACTTATATAGCGTTCCAATCAGAGAGCTTACTGTCGACATGCACAATAATCGTAATCCTACATTTGAATAGGGAATCAATTTCACAAGAGCCAACTATAGCCGGCTATTCTGCTGTAAGTAATGCTATCAGGGTTGCCACCCGTCCCGATTTTCCATATCATTTTAATATATCGCATATAAGAATTTTTAGATTTTATTAAAAATGACAAGGCTCTTATTATTACACCAACAAAAGAAATAAAAAATATTCAATACAGTGGGAGGTTGGAACCTTTGAGGTCGATTTATAGATTGAAAACGTTGCGGTTCGACGCCCGACGTTACGGTCGGTAAAAAGTTCGTTTATACGTAGGATGTTTTGTTGATTATAAATTTTTCGGTTGTTGTTGCGGTTGACGTTTTACGTCAAAAGTTAACCAACTTTTAACTTCGTCAGGAACGTTGACCTTGAAACGTTAGTAATAGCCAATAGAAATAATCGCAACCGCAACGTCGAACCGCACCGTTTTCAATCTATAAATCGACCTTTAGTGTTACAACAGCAAAATAAAGCACTAATTAACCGCGATACACCAAAACACTTTGCTTTTAACACTGGACGCTCGTTTCGCTAACCATAAATTTGAAGCTAACCATCAGTTTTCATCATCTGCTGATGATGCTAAGCTGGTTAACGAAACGCACGTCCAGTGATAAAAGTAAAGTGTTGGAAACTACCGCACGTGTAGGGGTTAAGGCCTTTTATGCTTGTGTATACTAAGTATGTTATATTTTAAAGTGTTTTGGTGTATTGTGAGGAATTAGTATTTTATTTTACCAAAAATGTTCATTTAAAGATAATTAAATAAACTAATAAAACCAATTATACAGATTATACAGCTGAAACTTTTGATTTTGTTTTGTTCTAGTTGTTTTAGATTTAATTGATTGTTTACTAATTTTGTTTTCAACTTTTCATTTTTACCTAATTTTTAATAAATTATGAATAGTTTTTTAAGCTGTTAACACAAAAAGGCAGAAAATGTTTCAAAATCCGAAGGGCACATAAAATTTTACAGTTAAGAAAAAAGGTTGCACCAGTGCTATCCCGATTCTTTAAATACAATAAGTGGCAACCCTAAATGCTATACCTATATTTGTCGAACCTCAAGAATTTAGAGAAGATATGGGCTTTACTGAGAATAATGAAGCATAAGCATGTTGGAGGTTCATGCTTTACGACTAGTTCCCGGTTCATTACTACCCGTAATGCAATGCAAATGTAAATATAGTTAATTTATTCCAAAAAAGGTTTTGGAGATAACCTCAGAATATTACCGTCAGTTTTTTCTGTTTCATTTCTACACGGAAAATAACATTTAGATATAAAAAACTAGAACATTGCACCGCAGATTGTACTTAGATTTTTGTAAACATATGACACACAATTATTGTTAGATTAGCTAAGTTATTATTCTTCCCCAACTTATTCTACAATAGTGCGTAGTAATTGCAAATTGTGTCACAAAATATAGTTAGTAGTGCTATAATTTGTAATAATGATCTTAATTTAAATTTCAACGAGTATAATCTGAATATTCTTTGACACAAATTGTGACAATTACCACCACACTTGTTCGCTATTTTCGTATAAAATCAAGGGGGGGGGCGAAGGCTGGGGCCCGGGTGACAATCGCCACAATGGCTATATGGCCAGACCGACCCTGCTCACGCGTTCACATTTTACACATTAAAACAACACGGAGATGAGGCTGAAATGAACGGCAAATATTTGTCAATAAAAACAAACAGGAACAAAAAATTAAATAAAATCAAAAAGAAAACAAAATAAAATAAACCTAGTGGGATTTGAACCCAGGGCTCCCGGGTAGGAACTAGAGAATAAAACCGCTAAGCTACCATGCTGTTGAAACAATTATTATACCCGGTAGAATTAATCTTTCAGATAATTAAAAATTAAGATTGGTTCAAAATTAAAAAAGCTATTTACGCTCTTTACGGATAAATTTACTTACTAGACAGCTTAATTCTAAGTATCTTCTGAAGTAGCTTTAACAGCTGGTGTGGAGGGAATGGGTATTGAAACCGCTTCTTGTACATTTTGAGATGTTGATGATTCTTCCCGATTTTGGGCTACAACTGGGGGTAAGCTTACATTGGCTGTTGAACCACTTAATGGTAATAACGGCTGCTTGTCACTGTACGATTTAGAAAGTCTTTCGCTCAGAGCTTTTAAAGCTATTTGCCTAAAATATAAAGACTTTTTATATACTTATAATAATATCTAGTGTTAAATAGCCAATTTTGATTTAAAAAAGAAACTGATTTTAAGGTCTAGTTTACAGCTTACACCGGCCGCCTATGTTAAGCTACATGGCCAGATGTTCCCGTGTTTTAGGCTGCCGCGCGCATGACGTCACTCACAGAATGATTTCCATTATGGAGACAGGCCCGTGTACGCATTTTCTTGGCAAACGCGTTTAATTTCATTTTTAGATAAAATTTTAAATCCAAAAGATGTTTTTAATGGTTAATTTTAAAATTTAAGAATATCAAATTAAGAGATTAAGCATGGCAGGTTGTTGTTGAACGTTTTAGATTTCCTTCAAGAAGTTATGTTCCTTTTAAGGTTTTTGTTACAATTTTGGCGGAACAGGTGAAAGAAAATAACATAATTGGCACCTAATGGATTTAATTAACACAACAATATATTGTTTTTTAATGAGTTATTTTATTTAGGCAGTTTGTAGGTAGGGGATAATGCCCAACAGTGTGACACATTTTTTTAAGACCGTAAAAAATATTTTATTTTTTCGTCAAAATAAACTATTTTAGTATACTTTAAAGGCAACCACTCTCTCCTAAACATGTTTAATTAACTACTCTCATTGAGACAAAACATGTCTTAAAATTAACAATATTATTATTATTGCATTTGTCTCATTGTTGGGCCCTAAGGTCTAACAGTAAGACAGAGGAAGTTTTAAACAAATAACTATTTATTAATTACTTAAAAATAGTTAAGAGTATTTATTTGCGTTTGGCATAAAACAAAGTAGAGCTGTCTTAAACAAAGAACTTAAAATATAAACACAAGTGCTAAAAATATAATTAACTTAATCAACTAACGAAATAAAAAAAAGAGTTTCATAGGTTTTTGTTGTTAATGTAACTTCGACTTAAAATAAAGAAAAGCTCTGTTATATAACAATCAATAACATGATAGACATGTTCAACAATGCCAACGAGTGCCCAAAAGGTACATATGTCCCAGTCTTAACGGGTGCACTGTCTGTCGGACACTGTCTCACTGTTGGGAACATAGACTTAAAATAAAATATAGACTACACTATTTACATCTCAACGCGGACAAACAACCTTTTTAGTACACATGTTTACTTCTGGGTACAGTCGACCGAGCCTTCCCATCCAGCCTATGTTGTCACGTCTTTAATATTATCAATATTTTTTTCTTGTTATACACATATATTGAGATATTAATACTACAGTTTAATAAAGTAGGTTTTAATATTCCATAGATGTATTAAATAGTCCTTATACTACTAAATTATAAGTCGGATACTGTTTAAAAAGGATAAGTTCTTTACAATATGATAACACCGATTAGAGGCGAGGGAGCCTATTCATTCATTTATTACCTTGTAGTACGCGTGGCAAGTGTGCGGTAAAGCTTTGATGCCGCTATGTCCCCGGCTGTATTAACGCATTTTCTTAGTTTGTAGTCCTTAAGTGTTTATTTTATTGACTTTTTCTGTTCAAGAACTATAAAATATGGTTCGCCAGTGCCAAATTTGCAAGAAATTTGACTTAAATAATCCATTTAAGTCTTGAAACGACTTTCGACCGGTAGACAACTCTCAATTTGCCCATTGGGAGCCAGTGGCGTTGTTGTAGAAAGGCGCTTATTTAGATAATATTTTAGTAAAATGTAAAATCTGAATTTTTTCTCATTACATTATTTACTTACTTACATTGTAACAAAGTCATAATTATAACCCTGTTAATAATTAATAATGATTTTATTAAAAATATGGTTTATTCTAAAATTATCTTGAGCATATAAAATAACATACAAGAATTTTAAATTGATATTACATTATGAAACAATATTTTTTAATATACCGGGTCGTCTCAAAAGTGGCTCACCCCCTATAACTTTTTTATTTTTTCAGATAAAAAAAACAGATTTGTATGTTATAGGTATATGACATAAATTAGGATTTATTGATGTATTCAGTTGTTTTTGGTCTCTTCCTGTTTCACCGAAATGATTACATCTTTTTATTTTTAAAGGCAACCTCGGTATATTGCTACTTTATTCGATAAAAAATGACACTCTGAATAGAATGACATATCATATGTCAACTTTTGACATTGTCGCTGAAAAACAAATCGTATTTTAAATTTCAATCCAGGGTGCCATGGTGTTGTTAAAAACACTAAGTTTTAATCAAGGAGCCTTGGAAAAATAGTTTTGATCGTCTAATAGGTTTCGTGTCTTGTCTAAGTCGGTTAAAATATGTACAAATCGTATTTTTAATCATACATATGTCAATTTTTTCAAATGGAACAAGGGTGACTCATTAGCATATTTGGAAAAAGCATTTTTTTATGAATATATTGATACCACACACTTGGTATTTCGAGTCAAATTGTCGTTATGAACCACGTGTTACAATTACAATTAAACCATATGCGAAAGTGTCAAAAGTTGACATATGATATGTCATTCTATTCAGAGTGTCATTTTCTATCAAATAAAGTAGAAATATACCGAGGGTGCCGTTTAAAAATTAAAAGTTATAGTCATTTCCGGTGAAACAGAAAGTGACCAAAAACAATTGAATGCGTCAATCAATCCTAATTTATGTCATATACTAACATACTAAATCTTGTTTTTTTATTTGAAAATATAAAAAAATTATGGGGTTGAGCCACTTTTGGGACGCACCCGGTATAATAAAGACAGTACCGAGTTAAATAAATGTAGTTTTCATTTTATCCCCTTCCTATCACCTTCCTTGCTTTAATGGAACAGATTTATGTTTTCTCTATTTTACATAATAAGACATCACTTAACCAGAAAAAAAATTACAACAATCATATTTTTTTTTCTCTCTCTGTCGCCGATTCTATTATATCTGTGGAATAGATCCTGTTTTCATTAATATTAGGGGTTGTAAATGTTTGACTAAAATTAATAATTTATTATTAATTTCAAAAATTACCTAATTTCAATTATAAAATTTCTTCTATAACGTGTATTTTATTATTTTTATCCTTTTTGGACTCTAAATTGTTTTTTCTAAACTTATATTTAAAAAACCTGTCCTAAATCTTAATAAAATATAAAAAAGTTTAAATACGATATATTTTTAATTTAATTATAGCTTCATTAAAATAAAAAAATTACCCGGCTATGATACGGAGAGTTCAGGTGTACTTGAGAAACGAAAGTTTGTGTTGTGTTTCTCGGCAGAGTCGTCAGGGAACGACCGTTACGACAGTCTATCGCTCGTGTCGCACTCGTTATAACCTAAAACAATAACACAACAATAACAAGACAGTGTCTGACCGCATGTTCCAGCTATTTATGAATGAGATGCTCAGTCTATATTTTATTTTAAGTCTATGGTTGGGAAATATATTTTGTATCACTGCTGGACATTAACACCAGTCGGCCATTTTGTAATTTATTTTATTCTAAAATTACTTGAACAAAAAAACTTAGAGGTATATTCTAAAAAAACATTCTAAACTTACCTCTACACTAATGGATTTATTAAAAACTAAGTGTTGGTCTTACAGACTGAAGAAAACGCACGTGTTAAAAATTATTTTTCGCTTCAGAAATTGTATTGGGTGCAGTTGATATATATATCTCCCAACACTGCAGGTTCCATATTTGATACAAAATAGTTGGTATATAGGTAGTGTTTTACTCTCGAAAGGGGAATTGGATTCGACGCGTTTTAAATGAAGGGGATTAAATGTCTCACTGTTGGACCTGTCTCGCTGTTGGGCATTCTCCCCTACATTGATTTTTTTTTTCAGAAAAAAATCCATTTCTTACATAAGAGTGGACAAATTACTATATTTCACCACAAAAAATTAAAAAATTACTATGACGTATGAAATTAAATGTCAAAAGTTGACATACGATATGTCATTCTATTCAGAGTGTCATTTTCTATTGAATAAAGTAAAAAAATACCGAGGGTGCCATTTAAAAATCAGAAGTTGTAGTCATTTCCGGTGAAACAAGAAGTGACCGAAAACAATAATTGTTAATCAATCCTAATTTATGTCATGTACTAACATACCAAATCTCGTTGTTTTATCTGAAAAAAAAGTTATAGGGGTGAGCCACTTTTGAGCCGCACCCGGTAGATCTCTCAGTAGTAATGTGTTTAAAATAAAATTTAAAGAAATAATTTGATAAGTTCTTACTTAATATTTATATACAGGTGCGTCTCAGAAGTGGCTCACCCCTATAACTTTTTCATTTTTTCAGATAACAAAACGAGATTTGGTATGTTAGTATATGACATAAATTAGGATTGATTGACGTATTCAATTGTATTTGGTCACTTCCTATTGCACCGGAAATGACTACAACTTTTGATTTTTAAATGACACCCTGGGCTTTTTGTTAATTTATTTGATAGAATATGACACTCTGTATAGAATGACATATCATATGTCAACTTTTGACATTTTCCCATATGATTTATTTGAAATTGTAACATGCGGTTCATCACGACAATTTGACTCAAAATACCAAGTGTGTGGTACCAAATTATTAGCAAAAAATACTTTTTCCAAATATGCTAATGGGCCACCCTTGTTCCATTTGAAAAAATTGAGATATGATTAAAAATACGATTTGGGCATCTTTTAACTGGACACGAAAAACATTAGACAGTGAAGTCTATTTTTCTATGGCTCCTTGATTAAAAATTAGTATTTTTAACCCAGCTATGGCACTCTAAATTGAAATTTAAAATACAATTTGTTTTTAAGGGAAAAATGTCAAAAGTGTTGACATATGATATGTCATTCTATTCAGAGTGTCATATTCTATTGAATAAATTTAAAAAATGCAGAGAGTGTCATTTAAAAATCAAAAGTTGTAGTCATTTCCGGTGAAATAGGAAGTGACCAAAAACAATTAAGTAGGTCAATCAATCCTAATTTATGTCATATACTAACATAACAAATCTAGTTTTTTTATCTGAGGGGATAAAAAAGTTATAGGGGTGAGTCACTTTTGAGATGAATCTGGTATAATATTGCTAAAATTCTGAATCTAAAACAATCTAACTCAAGTACTGAAAAATTGTATTATGCAATGTTCAGATAAAATTTTCAATTTATCAAGTGAATTGTATGAAAATGTTTGAACAAAATAAATTAAATACCTTCTCCTTTCCATATCATGCTGATCCATATTAGAAACTGATATTGTTACACCTGAAGGATTTGTCATGTCAAATTTTCTCAAATTTCTTTTACATATTCCTATTTTCACTAATCCATTGTAAATACTGTTACTTATTATCGTAATGGGCGGTTGAATAACATTTGGAAAAAAACTAAAACAATAATGGATATATGGACTGTAAGAAAATTGTAAACAAATAAAGATACCTAGCAAATGTAAAGTAATCTGCCATATCACCCCTTGTGCCATTGCTGTGTTTCTGGTAAAACCTTAAGTAAATCCAACTTACTATTAAACCTAAAAAATACATTGTAGGATATGTCCCATCGACTAGACCAACAATTTTAAAAATCAGCGACAGAAAGAATACAGACAAAGGTACATTTCGATTGCTTAATTTTCCCAAAGGAGTTTTTATTATTACTAAATCAGGCATTATTTGTTTGACAGCAACAGAAACACCAGCAATATAACCCGCCAGTCCATGTATATAAACATTATAAAGACACTGTATATCATTCAAACAATAGTATAAAATAAAGTAAAAAGTTGTAGTCAATATTCCTACACCAAAATTGACAATTGCAAAAAACGTCAACATTTCTACTGGTCCCCATAGAGGTTCAATCAGTTTACCACACAGGCCCACTGTTACGATATCAATCAAAACTTCCCAGAAATGTATTTCCATAAAACAAAATGTGAATAACGACCAAAGTCGCAGTGGTGGCATAATATATCCTGGAGTAACAGAAATTACTTCCACTGCCAGGTCCCAATAGGATAGGGCATAACTGATTAGAACTACGAAACATATTAGCTTCACTGAATTACTAGTGTTTCCTAATAAAGCACAAAGTTGCTGCTTCAAATAAGGGACATTTCGTCGCAATGTTCTAAACACAGCCATCATCAAATCATTACTTCTATAATGTTCTATATTCTATATGCCCTTTGCTATTATCATCAGATTATTATTGCATTTATTTTGAAGGATTGAGGATTGAGGTTAGCTAATCAAACTTCTTCTTATTATTCTGTTTAAGGCAAAATAAGCTAAGTTCTCAGAGCATTCAGGGCAGAGATATCGAAGTGTGTATGTCTTTGGCACAGCTTTCTTTGGTGTTGGTGTGTATGTATCCATGATGTATCCCTAAGATGTATCCCTTCAATATATCTCATTCAGGGGCGTCCCCGAAAATTCAAGGACTAAATTAGAGAAATATAGAGAAAAATCACTGGACTAAACAAATAATTTCTGGAAAAGAAGAAACAGACGATGCGAGTGGATCAGAGTCCATATCTCTTGAGTGGATGGACCTCATGATACAATAAACAAGTCGGATAATCACCATTATGGTCACCAGTCACCATATAATCACCTGGTCGGGGTCGGATATCGGTACACCCGGATATCTCGTCGAGTCGCTCGCCAAGTCGGTAGGCTATTAACAATGATCTGGCCGAGGACCGTGGTTCGGATTCCGCGTAAACAAAGTAGGCCCCGTTAACATTAAGCCCTATCAGCAGAAAAGAGACGTTGAATACCACTTTTTTGAAAAGAAGAAACAGCTTCAGCCGCAACCTAACCCAACTATTAAAAAAGTTTTTAACAAATGCCGTCGTCGTTTGGATTGTTTTTACACGTGGTGTAGTGTTCTCTTAATTTTTTTATTAAACAGTTTCTTATATATAAAAATGGTAAGTATTTTAATGTTTGGTGAACAATGATCTAATTTCTGTATTTATGCATGTATTATGCTGTATTTCTGTATGTCTGCTTTAAAAACTTGTATACTCATGTGATTTGAGTCTTCTGTATCGTAATACTTCTTTATTGGACTTCCTCAATTAAATACAAGACACATTAATGAATGTTTTGATAATTGTAGCCCTATAACTGTAAATAATGTCTGTTCAATTTTATTTATTTCTCATGTCACCAATTTTGTGACTATTTAATATGCATTTGGTTGTTCTGACTTGGATATTACATCCTAATTATTTTTTATATGTTGATTATTTAGCAAACTATACTAAGCATTATACTATACTACTGGTTTAGCAAACTTTATGTTTTGGTATAAAAAGAGGGGGTAAACCACTGGTGTATTTTGGTGTACAAGATGTTGGCATTATTTGGTGTTAGTGGTATTATTCGTGGTATTAGTGTACATGCATTTGTTAGCAGTTTACCCCTCGTATAAACATAATATATTTGAGAATTATTACCCCAGTTTACTTAGACAAGGAAAGAAAGGGGACGCGTAATCAACATCTACGGCCAATATCAAATTTTGTGATTTGTCTGGCTCCTAAAAATTGTGTTTTTTTTGTATTTTGTGCCATAAAAAGCTTTTTAAAGATTTGAAATTATTATTATTTAATTATGGTGTTTTGTTGTGCTTACAACTGTAAGAGAGAAAGAACCAGGAATCACTTTTCACAAACGGCCTTAGCCTAGTGATTTTCCATCACAAAATTTCTACTGGTATAACCCGCCCCCCTCTTTCCTTGTCTAAGCCAGTTTATATACCTATATCTGTGCTTTGTCTCTGTTCATTATTTCTCTACTCTGCTTATACAGGATATGTATTATAACTACAATAAGATAAAAAACAGGGTAATTATTGGGAAAACTGGAAATCGTCCGATTTTCACCAAAATTGGTATACACCCTATTTTGAGGTCGTAGATTACTCAACTTTGAACTCAATTAGCTTATCTTTTCAATACTTGCCTCGGCTGTTTCTCGTGGTGTGTTTCTGTCTTTTAAAAACATTAATAACTTAAAAGCAAAAGCAAACCATTTTGAATTATCCACTTCATCTGAACCATGCAGTACCTGATTTGCATTTCTTTTGTTCCCTCTGGAACTGGCCTATTAGATAACAAATTATTTTTTTCACAACTTTTTCTCTTTCCAAATACTTACTATGAAATGAAGATCGCTGTCATTTTATATGGAAAATTATATGGGGAATGTCATCGATTGTCATGTCCAAACCAACTGGACGGGAGGCCGACGGGACGCAGTTTTTTTTCGATCATAAACAAACCAATATCAGCTCACTACACTAAGATTCTGTCGCGCACGTCCCTGAAAATATGAGCGGCTAAACTAGAAATTTAGCAAGTGTGGACACGTTGTTTCATGTTACAATAGCAATGTTGCACAACATCTTTTGATCTTTACCGACTACAAATGGATAACATCTAGCAAGTTATATAGCATCGAAATTTGCTAAATATAACTAAAAAATATGTAACATGTTATGTAACTTTGCTATATAGCAGTGTTATATAGCAAGTGTGGACCGTCCTTTATGCGCAAAAATTCGCCTTAAGTCTAGAATACATTTGTCTCTCTCATTACATAGGAGAGAGAAAGAAGGATATATGAAATGTCAAACTTCCATCTGGTCTCAATTTTCTTTGTTATTTTGATAGAAAAGTGTTTTTCAGTAAAATTTTGGACATTTTTCTTCCTCAATCAAGTGTGGCTTTTAGATAAACTATAATATAAGGAAAATATAGTGAAATTATTACTTTATAAAGGGCCGAAATAAAGAAAAATTCAATGTTGAAATTATTTTCCGTTTTTCTGAAAAACGGTAAGAGACCGCCAAGAAAAAAGTTTGGAATCATAATCTACGACTTCAAAAAAGGGGTATACCAATTTTGGTGAAAATCGGACGATTTCCAGTTTTTCCAGTAATTACCAAAAACGGCGTTAACGATGGCTATGTAATGAAGATCGCTGTCACTTATATGGTATATGTCATGGATCGTCATTTCCCAGTGAACTAGACGCCTTTTTTTTTCGATCATAATACATAATGCACCTCTAACAAATGTTTTTTGTCTTTTGAATTATTTACTGTATTGACTATTTTATCTCTAAATAGGATAACTTTTATGTTTCACATTCTCTTCTGAGTATCTATTCTTAGTTAATTATAATGTTAAAATTTTGTAAAAAAATATAATTATGAACATAATTATAAAATGTAAATTAAATTAAAATATTAAATATAATATTGTCTTAATCATCTGCTGATGATGCTAATATGGTTAGCAAAACGCGCGTCCAGTGTAAAAGTAAAAGTGTTTTGGTGTATTGTCAAAAACTACACGTATTGCGGTGATTTAGTGTTTTATTTTGCTAAAAAATATTTTTCCAGATTCTATAGTCTATAGGCTATTCACAAGCAGTTCCTAATGCTTTTTTCTCAATGTTTACTTTTCTATTTTCTGTTGAACTGTTAAATGTGTTTGCTTTTCATAATCTGATCAAATTTCTATGATATCAATTTATTATTTTTTTTCTGTATTTACAGTTTTTTTACTAAGATTTTACAAGAAATGAGAAACGATCTTTGAGACCTTTGATCTTCAATATCTTAAGACCTGCACATATTTATACTTATTGATCACCCTTTCTAGCCTAAGGTCTTGCTGATCCATCTGAAAATGATCACCGAAATACAGAAAATTAGTGAATAACTTTGGATAAGATATTATTTATCAAAACATAAAGTTCTAGTTTGTCCAACGACAAAATCGATGTGTCACAGTAAAGTAGTTTATTTTCTTTTACAAAGATATAAGTTGGTACAATTGGAATGCAAAGAAATTAATATAATTTTTTTAAATTTTAGTGACGGATGATTACTTATCAACCAAAATGCAAAATTAATATCGCAAATATTTATTATTTTCCAAATCGCTATTTATACTTTGACACAAATTATAACTTTTAATTTGACAAGTTTCAGAAGTCGAGTTCATACGCATCTGCGTCCGCCCGCGGTTCATCGTTCCGTCACTCCAATCATATGGAAATAAGATCTGTAATTTTTGAAATGACAGATCAAATGTCAGAAACCAATAAGACTGGTTAAAAACAAGCGACGACCCATGACGTATTTATATACCGTGCTTTTATTTTAACTGTGAACATAGAGCTTAACACAGTGCAATGCTTTTTTGCTAAGTATGTTTATTTTTAAAGCGGAACAGTCAATGCATTGAATTTGAGTGAATAGTATGCAACAAATACTCACACAACAAATAATATGTTATAAAATATTTATTTTTCTTTAGCTAAAAATAGTTCTAGCTCAAAACATTTCCAAAATCCTAAATTTCGATGAAAAAAAAATATTTTGAATTTTATTTCATGTCTATTAATTTTTCGGCGTAAACACAGTATTGCCTGTCGGTATTTCATCAATGGATGATAAAATGTTGGTTATGGACTGACCACAGGGGAGTGATTTACAAATTAAAATGATGGACGCCTATGTTCATAGTTAAAACAGAAGCTCTGTATAAACCCATCCATAGTTAAAAAATATTAGAAACTTTTTAGTGAAATTAATGGATTGGTATGGACGTCATTTTCAGACGTCAGACTTTTTTCGTAAAAAACATGAGTAATATAAAGATAAATACCGTATGATCAAAGAAAAAAAAACTGAAAATCTGGAAATGACGGTCCATGCCATTTCTCATATAAATTTACATATAAAATGACAGCAATCTTCATTTCATAGCCATCGCTGACGCCCTTTTTTTTCGATCATACGTTATACCGGGTGCGTCTGAAAGTGGCTCAGGGTGCATCCACATCATCCTAGAAAAAGGGGAACGCCGCGCCGAATTGAGCTAGAATTTATCTGTCAAAAATTTCAGCTAATAGAATTGCTGGAAATCTATTCAAGGTCGTTACGCCGATACGCCGATCCGCTTTTTTTAGGTGTGGATGCACCCTCACCCCTATTTTTTTTTATTTAAAAAAAAACGAGATTTGGTATGTTATGTCTTATTACCAATATGACGAATGCGCTGGGCAAATTCCACGGTACAAATTTATTGGCACCATTTCGTACCCCACAAAAACTCTGGTATGCGAGTAGAACTATTGGTAGGTTTTTGCTGCGCGTTTTATTATTCGCATTTAAATAGCCAATCGAATAGCCACGAGGGTTACAGTGCGTAATTTGCTAAATACTATTTATCTGTATCCTGGTATTAGGTAAGTCGTTTGATAACCGCATATTACATATTTTACCACAATTCTATCACATTATACAGGGTGTCCCAGGCTGAGCGTGTATTAGAAATTTCTAGAGAACCACGATATCGAGATCGTATCATTGTTTTACAACTAGATTTATCGATTAAAAATATTTTCAATATGGCGGCACTTTCGGAAATACCGGAAGTTGATAGCAACTTTCTTATTTTAAATGGATGCCCCCATTTTTTATTATATACTTGAATTCTCTGTAAAATGCTATGAATATTGATGTTAAACTATCTATCTTCTATAAACTAATCTAATATATCTATCTATAAACTATCTCTTAAACACTCTATATCTAACATTAACCGTTTTTGAGAGAAAAAAAAATTGGACGAAAAAAACTACCCGTCAAAAAATTTGTATAGCCTAAAAGTTAAAAAAATCTTGTTTTACATCACTTGACGTTTAAAGTCATATGCTACTGGTTAAAATCAAGAAAAATATACCCTTCGAAACTAAATCTTAAATAACTTAAAAACAATTTATTTTACGTATAGAATTGTGTATAGTCACAAAGTAACTTGAAAAGTCTTTTCACTAGTGAAATAAAAAAAGTGTGTTTCCATTTGAAAAAAATGATTTCTGATAATTTTTTAATCGCTCAATTCCA